AGAATCGTATGGAATTGCGACATGGACTGTGTATGATATACGGAAATATAAAGAAAAGCTGTTGAAATTTTACAGCAACAGTGATTCTAACACTGGAATCCGAAATCGGAAGTCTTTGCATGAGGCGAAATTGGCAAGAATCAATGCTGATGTTCAAGTGGTTCCGGCAGTGGCGCAGTGATGAGATACCAATTTCAGGACCGCTCCTGAGAGAAAAGGGGAAGCAGATTCATGCTGATTTAAAAATAGAGGAGCCGTGCGATTTCAGCAGTGGTTGGCTGAACAGATTTAAACAGAGACATAGTACACGTTATCTGAAAGCATGTGGGGAAAACCTTTCAGCAGATAAAGATACTGCAGAGGAGTTTATTGATGAATTTTCTGTGTTAATGGCAGAAGAAAATCTTAGCCCAGAACAGGTTTTTAATATGGACGAGACTGACGTTTTTGGCAATGTTTGCCAAGAAAGACGTGACATGCGAAGAAAGTGCACTTGCCATGGGTGAAGGAAGCTAAAGAAAGAGTTACCATTTGAGTATGCAGCAATGCAACTGAAACAAATGTAAACCAGTGGTATCGGGTAAGAGCACCAATTCCAGAGCTCTGAAAAAAGTAAAATCCTTACCTGTGATTTACAGGAATAATAAAAATTCATGGTTCACAAAGCAACTTATGACTGAATGGTTCATAGAGCATTTCTTTAAAGAGGCTAGAAGACATTGTAACAGTACCATCAGATTGCAAGATTTTACTATTGTTAGACAACTGCTCTGTACATCCAGATGCAACCATTTTAACATGTGATAATGTCATGCCCTTTTTTGGCCCCGAATACTGCATCATTGTTCCAACCAATGGACCAGGGCATAATACACAGTATTAAATGCCACTATAAATCAGAGCTTCTGAAAAAAAATTCTTTCAAATGACCATTCTATTCCACTTTGCGGTTATATATATAAAAAAAAAATCACCATTAAAGACTGCATTTATTAGATATTGGTGAATGGATAATGTGTTCAGATGAGCCAACATTGGCATATCAGATGACTGATGATGAAATCATTGGCTCTGTTTTGAACTCACCACAGCAAGAGGACAATCCCGACACCAACATAGATAGTGAATTTGATAGAAGTGAAAAAATATCTTTTAATGAGGGTCTGGAACATGGTGAAAAATATCTAAAATTTTTAGAACAGAGCTGTGTCACAGAGCAAGAGATTATGACTCTATAATTTACAAAAAAAAAAAAAAAAAAAAAAAATCTTACTCTGGAGCATCCTAAAGTTTTAAAACAAACCTCCATTAGAAATATGTTTGAAATATATATAAAAAAAAAAAAATGAAATATTTTATGCTTTTAAATATCCCTGTAATCACTAATGTAAATGAATAATATAACATAATCAATTTATATATGTAATAATAATTTAATGCAAATAATAAATTATTGTACTAATGTATATAATAATTTAATTAAATGTATCTAATATGCCTTATTTATTTTGCACTTTTAGTCTGAATATTATGATTTATCTTTTCTGTCCTGAAATCTGCAAAATCCTAAAATCCGCACAACCTCTGGTCCCAAGCTTTGCAGGTTTCTGGACTTCTGTATCAGTAGGAGTGAGTCCAAGAGCAGACTGATAAACTGCGGGCTCAGCAAGAGCATTACGAGTTTAGATCAAACCCTCTGTACTATGTTAAAGTCAGAATCCTGTCAATATTTCTCTCTCTCTCTCTTTTTTTTTAAAATTAATTTTTGTTTAGGAGAAGAATAGAATAAAAATGGTGAATAGTCTTAGATTTGTACAGGCATATTCCATTTTTCTACTGTTTTCAAATACAGTTATGCTGTGAACTTGATGGGAATTGAAAAATAAAGCTGTTTTGAGTGTACTATTCTTCTCTTTCTCAATATATATATAATACAGAAATGAATTAGTAATTAGTTCAAAACCTAATCTAGTTGCATGCTTATAGCAGCAACAAGTGGTGGTAAAATACTCAAATTGACTAAAAATAATTTTTAAACTTGTCTATTGTTTTTCAATCTATTTTGAATTTGCCTATGTTTTTGTTAGTATAATTTTGGAATTTTTTGCACAGCATACTTTGGCCTGTAAGAATTGGACTGACATAGATTACTTTTATTGTTTTTCTAAGATTGTTTTTACATTTTAAACTTTTTTGGGGGGTCAGTTCAGAAAGATGCAGTTTTATTTATTTATTTACCTCTTTCATTGCACCAAACCTCTGATTCGAACCATATACGGATATTGCTGCACATTATCAACACATAAAAGGCAAAGCAGAGTTTTATTTTCTTATTTAGGAAGCATGTAATTGTAGAAATAAAGGCATTGAGTAGAGGAACAGGCAAATAAACATAACTGATGAAGAATAATAGCAAACCATCCTTTAATAGGAACATGAGAAAGCCCAAAGGGAATTTCTCTTGGTGAGAGGTGATGGAGAATAAAACGTTCATGACTCCTGCAACCATTGAGGACTTTCTGGAAAAGTAGGAAGAGATTCAGGGCACAGTCATGCAGTAGCAGTCCATTCTAACTGACAGAATCTATTTGGTGGATAGTGCCATGCATTATATCAGGATTATCCTGAAGAACAGGAAGGAGTTAAGCACTTTAAATAATTTCTTGATACTTGGACCCTCCCAAACAAAGATATTATATGAGAAGGATGGACCCCTGAGTCTTTTCCTGTAGATTAAGAAGACTCATATAAAACTGAACTGAAATTTCTATGAGATTGTGTGACAATAAATGTTTTTTGGAACTAATAAATAGTGATTTTGGGCTCAGAAATTACATTTGTAAACTAAACAGAGGAGAAATCTAGATCAGAAAGTTACAAATTTCGAATTGTTTTTCTGGTCAGTAGCATTTCTGATGAACAAATTTTCTTTTGAGATGCTATGAGTGTATTAGATGAATTAAATTTTTAAGTTTATTGTTGCTATTATTTTGATTGAAGTAGAGTGATCCTTGATATTCATGATGACATTGAATAAGCTGGCAAGTGTTCTGTACCCTGGAGACTAGTTCACAGAGCTCACTAAGTTATGGAGAGCTGTGAAATTCTAGACTTTAAACTGCATCTGTAAAGAAATATTGTATGCTTATTAAGTAAAATCAGATTTTTTTTCCAGCAGTTAGCATAGAGAGTGTGACTTTTGCAGAAGATAGCATCTTTGTTGACTTGGTCGTTAATGTGTGCTTTTAATATTTTGGAAGAACAATATTTCTATGCTTTTAGTGTAGGGTTTGTTAAGTGCATTATAAATATTAAACCATCTTCTGTCTTTCTTTCCATCGTGGTAAAATGCTGCGGCCAGAAACGTGCCATTTCAGACTAGTTCTTGTTAATGCATTTCTAGAAAACGTTATAGTGTTTTATAAGGTTGAATAGGTAAACCATTTTTTTTTTATTTATTTAGGTTGCAGATGTGTATTAAATCCTTTATGCTGTTAAGGTTAAAAAAATAAACAGATATTTTTATTTTTTTTAAATCTGTTGAAAAATTACTATATTTTTGAAAATGATGTGTGTAAAATTTAGGAATTTCTGGATTTTATGAAAGTATACTTTAGATCCTGGGTTATTCAAAAGAAAGTATTATCCGAAATTATTTTGCATGAATCAGATAAAAAGGGGTTTTACTTATATAAAATCTTAACTTTGTAATTTTTTTTTTTTTTTTTTTTTTTTTGTTATTTGTCTAAGTCTTAACAAAAAGTATTTTCTTTTAAAGGGGGGGGGGTTAGTGACACTATTGAACCAGTAATGCTGAAGTGTAGCTACTGTTTTATTAAAGTTTTATTATGAATCACATCATAATTTCTGGCCTACAAAGTTCAGAGTATAAACAGATAGGGATCATATACTATTGGGAAAGCATGGAATTGGAATCTGAAAAAAGATTCCAATAATAAAAATATTGAAAAATGTTAATGTAACGCAAAACATTTTCCTGTTTCCCACAGCTTTAACACTGAAATATGTAAATTTTACTTTAGTTATTTACAAATGCTTTAGATTTTTTTTAATTGCAAATTTTGCCAATTCATAAAACTTAATTCCTGAATTTGTATTTAAGAGCAATACGTATTTTGTCTTCTCTTGAACATACTTAAGAAAAATATTTTTTATGAAATACATATCAGACTTTTTTCATCAAGAAATCTGCTATCTTGTCTTATTCTCATGCCTAGTAATTTTAGTATAACTTTTATTTTCTAGAATAACTCATATCCTTTACTTTTGTAAAGCTTCTTTATGATGTTTGAATGAAATGAGTAAGTGAATAAGAAACAATGGATTTTCATTTTGCACTTAGAATAATGAGTGTAACCTCATCAAGTATATTAAGTACATCCAAGTTATATCTCAATTCCTGTTATGCAATTTAAAAGTCTTGCTTAAAGGTAAAATGCACTAAATAATCTTTCACATTCAATATGTCAATCAAAAATATGCCAAATTAATGATATATCAAATTTAAATTTTCATGCAGTCAAAATAAATAACAGATGTTAAATTTCACCGAAACAATATTTTAATACTATATAAGAATTTTATTAGTTTAGATCAGTGGTTCTCAACCTTTTGATTAACGCGTACCATCTAAGCAAAAATTAAAAACCTTTAGTACCACTTCTACAAAGTACTACTACCACCACCACTCTTGAACAAATCTCAGATGGCATAAATTTATGAGTGTTAGAGAAAAAACTCAATTGGGATGTTGAGGTTTTAATTTTTTAATTTAATAGTTAAAAATACTTCTTTGCTTACCACCGGTTGAGAACCCCTTTTTGAGATAATTTGCATCTTGTTTATAAGTAATTTATTTCATTCATTTGCTATATGACTTTTCTTTCTCTCTTTTCTCTTCACAGGAATAAGTTTTCAAATGGTTCAGTTAATCTGTTTACTGTATTATTTCATTTTTATTTTATTTTTCTCTTTCATAGGTATGCCAAATTACTATGAAGTTTTGGGTGCTACCATGTCCGCTACAAGGGATGAGCTGAAAAGATGTTATCACAGACTTGTTCGGAAATACCATCCTGACAAGAAAAAGGAACTTGGAGATGACCAAAATTTCTGCCTGATAGATGAAGCATGGAAAGTACTAGGAGATGACAATCTTCGTAAAATGTATGATGCCAAAATAAAAGCTTCTGAATCACAATTCTGTCATCCTGTTCAAGAAGAAATAAGCATTACAGAACTTTCTTGGAATGGGGATCTTGAACAGTTTGAAAAATATTGTCGATGTGGTGGCCAATATGCCTTACACCAAGATGATAGCAAAAGTGGCCTTGTATTAATTGACTGTGATAATTGCTCTTTGAGCATAGTTGTTGACTGTGATATAAAGGAAAATAAAAATGATAGCAGCTCTTGAAATACATTTTTGTTCATTCATACTGAAAGTTTAGTAGAAGGTTAGAACTTCTTATAGCAGTTAATGTAATACCGTATTTGCTAGCATATTTCCCCTCTTTTCCTTCTAATTTTCCTCTTGAAATCCTCTTGAAACCTGAAAGGGACAAAATATGCTGTGTATAATATTTATGAGAAGAGATGTCTTAAATGATAAGCATAGCACCCATTAAGATACTGTAATCAGTGGCGTAAATAAGGGTATGCAAGGAATGCCGTCGCATAGGAGCCCAAAGGTTTGGTGAACCCTTAAATGTCCTGCTGAACTACATTTACATGTTTAAACTTAAAAGTATTTTTTCCCTTTCGCTTTTCATTTTTATTTTTAGAGTTTGTACTACTATGAATTCTTATTTTAATATAATAGAATTTGTCTTCTTTTAAGTTTTTAAGGGCCCTCTTCCTATGGGCCCCCTTCCTATATGGTGCAGTGACGCAGTTCCATATAAGACGCAGAAAAGGGGCCCTTGGAAGCACATGAAATAGGTAAATTCAGTGTTTGCAAAAGTTAATATTCCATCATTCGACTATGAAATAGTAACTTCGTGACCTACGTCAGCTCAGGCATAGGAGTCAGCAGAAAATAGGAAAAGCTCCTTTGTATCTCTTAGTTTCTTACCTGAAAATTTTGAAAGGCGACCCTCTGAAGAAAAGGTTTCTCCCTTTGCAATCCCAATTCAACAGGGGGTGGAAGTGGAAATTAATTGTAACTATTTATTATAATGTAATTATTTTGTATATTGATTTATTTCTATATACTTTGTTATTATGATCAAATAATTAATAGACACATTTTCTAAGTATTCATAAAGAAGTAACTAAACAGGATTTTGGTACTTAATTTCGAATGACCTTTGCAAATTAAGAGGAAATGTGGTATATTATTTGCAGTTCGAAACTTTCATAATATGTCATTCCGAAGTATTTAATTTTGTTCATATATTGAATCTGTCACTAGCACTTCCATTAAACCCAAGTCCAAAAATCAGGACTAATATTAAGCTTGAAATTTAATTTATTAATGTGAATGATTTTTGTAATTTAATATAACATGCATTGCATTGGTTTACTATAAACGGCGTATCACTTTTCAAATTGTTGCCACCAAATAATTTCACCCTGTACTATTTTTTAAAAAATGAAATAAGGAAGAATCTGCATAAATGTACATATGTTTCTCGCATTATGACGAAACAACGTTACCTAGAATGTTTGAATGTATGGTTCTCATAATGTAAAAAACGACGATGCAGTTGCACCAGGAAGGCAGGGTATAGGGACGGAAAAATTTTGGGATTTAGAAGTATGGAAACATTCCAAAATGGCCAAAGTTAAAGGCGGAGCGGATTGATTTTTTCCCTTCTTTTTTAGAACTAATAATCTGGAGTGGTGAAATCATTCGTAAATATCAATTGCTAACTTCCAGAATGTTCTGCTTTCCTTTCTTTAAGGACATAAAATGATTGACATAAGTTGAGGCAGTCGTGGTGTGAAAGGACTTTGCCCCACTCACATGTCGGAAATGGTGTCCTCGTCCAGAAAACGCAAAGAATTTATGAACACCACATTTAGAAAAGAGAGATTTCCGGTTTCTTAGGGATCTTTGAAATGAATTCCAGGTCAGAGAAAAAAGGGGCAAGTTTTATGCGACAAAGCTTACAACTCCCTTTGCAATCCCAATTCAACGGGTTTTGTTGTGTTTCAACAAAGAACACAAAGTTTCATTCTGGTTGCTTAAACATTAAGTGGCAAATATTCCAGTTAATTTTTTTCCTTAAATTTATTGAAATTCATGACTTCTTCTTCAATATGGGGAGAGGAAATGGAATGGGATGAATATTTTTTTACTTGAAATAATGAGTGTAAATCAATATTTATCCTATTTTTCATATCAAAATTTTACAAAATATTCTCACATTGCGGATAAAAATAGCAGGTTAAGAATTCTTTAAAATCCTAAACGAGAATTAATTAAATCTGAAGACACAGAACGCGTAAATTGATTTGCTTTAGGAAAGAGAACAGCTGTGGTGTTTCTTAGCCTTGTAAATTACTCATCTACCAAAAATTCACACTAATCCGTAAAAGATAATTCTGAAAGATATTAAAATTAGTTTTGAAAGAAGAAATATTTTAATTTCCCTCGTTTGAAAAAAAATAATAAATTAGAATTCATTTTAACAACGTGAAACATTTAAGCCTAGAATTCAGTAATGCGCAATAATTTGTATGTTATTTAAATGGAACTGAATTGAATTATTATATAATAATAAAGCACTTGAGTAATATTTGCCCAAAGAGAAGAACGCCTTCGTGGAGTACTTTCTAATCGTTATTTGAAATGAAAAAGTGTGTGTGTGTCTGATTGTAGCAAAGTCTCGAGGGCTATCTGCCTAAGGGAAGGAATGCCTTCGTGGAGGACTTTCTAAGGGAAACTGGCTCGTATACACATTACACATGGGGAAAACCACGAAAACACCCATGCAGCCAGTCCGTTCGCGGGATTCGAACCTCGGACCGAACTACCAGTGTTCAGCGACTTTACCACTCTGCCGCTAGTGGGCCGTTATTTGAAATGAAACTTTAAAATGTACACTTTTGCTTTTAATTTATTTTAATTTTTATTCTACTTTTACTTTGCACAGAGCATTCAGTATGTGAAATCATCAATAATAATATAATAATGATAATAAAAATGACATCATACAACTAAAAGTATATATACTGCTTCGTAAATTTCGATAAATTAATTACTGAAAATATTAAGCATATCAATGGGAGCGTTGGACCTAATAGTTTTAAGTTGCATTTCAACATCTGAAAGAACACGAATTACAATACAATTTTCATAACACACACAGACATGGAAAAGATTCTCCCACTTTTATTGCAATATTTCAATAATTTTTTGCAATTAAAAATAAATTAGTTAAAACGTTTTAGTGGAAAATGATGCGATTTTCACTCATAAAATTCCTTTTCGCATTATTCTCTTTCATTTTGGCACCACTGCGTAGCTTTTCTAAGACATAAATAGGTTCCGTTAATATATGTTCCCATACATTATATGTATTTTTCCTATTTTTGTCATTAACCTTCCAGCGGGTGCGCCTTCTACACCAACAAGAAAGGTCGTGCGTATTTCTTAGATACGCTATTATAAAAGTAAATTTTCCAGAGCAAAAATATGAAAATTAGCTTGTAAATAGTTAAATGTTAATAAGTACAATTCAGTTAAACAATATTAACTTTAAATTAAGGAAAATAAAATAAGTATAAAGCAAAAAAAAAAAAAAAAACAATATCAAACTAACTTGAAAGTAAAACAAAATTAAACTGCCAATGTTTTCAATTGAACTTTTTATTTTTAATCAGTAAGTGAAAAACACATTAAATATTACATAACAAAATCAATTTCATAGTCACTTCATTGCATCGGTGCAGGCTGAACAAATATGTTTACAGTGCTCTAGACAAACGAATTTTAAACAAATCTCACAGCTGAACCTCGTAATTCCAGTATGCTTGTCATTTTGGCAGGGCTTGCATCTTTTTTTTCCCTGAAGTCATTCTTCAACAACAGCTAATTTCTGCTTTTCATTTCAACAGTTAAATTTCAGCTAACATTGAAGAGAGTTAGGGATTCTTCTTTCAACGTTTTCCTTCACAAGAGCATTTGCTAGCTTTCGCAGATATATCTTCTAAGTAATTTTCACTATTATTCGTTGAATGAATTATGTAGCTGTTGATTGCTGCTATTTCAGCATAGAGAAGAAAACTACAAGAGTCCACACCTCCTTTGGTACGATTGTAAAATGGATAATCTCAAGCTTTTTTTGGTCTTGGGTATTTTATCTATTGCTACGTCATCATGAAGATTTGAAATCAAATGACGTTCTTATAACGTTTGGGTACATAGGAGAGAAGTGTCATATTTTATCTAAATCCAAAAAGACTCGTACTGGGTTCCCGAGTTTTCGCCAGCTTGAACTGATCCGGAATTTGAGGTTTATTGTTTTTCAAAAGTACCTACAAATGACAATTTTTTCATCTATTTCTCGTACTAACTCAAACTTGAAAACCAGTTGTCTGTGGTTACATTTCTTCCAGTGTTATCAATAGGTTCTGTCAACCTTTTTCAAATGTTGTGGTTTGTTGCTTACGTAAAAAGACAATCTGTGACTTCTCTCCAAGTGAATAGCACTTCTGGCAATTAGAGACAAACTTTTCAAAAAGTTTTATTGGAGACAAGCGGTCGACTTCTCTTCGTTCTGCTCTTGTGTTTATGTCATCAAACTGTAAAGCTCTTAGTAAAACAAAAAAATCTCTTCAGTTCATTACTACTTTAAAATCATCCATTCTCCACAGTTCCTCAAGATTCCAAACTCTGTTACTATGATAAATACCAGCTAAGTAAAGTAAGCCCAAAAGAGCTTTTATTTTTGCTCCATCTGTGTCTCTGCTGTTCCCTTATACGAGAATAATTAGACCTCGTAGAAGAAATAAACTTATTTGTATCTTCAGCGATAATTTCTGTCATACTATCAGTAAAGAGGCATTTCCATACATCTAAAATATCTGTTAGATATTTAGCTTCACTGATGACTCCAGAAACATGTACACATATGTTATGAGGCGCTCGTTTAGTTTTCTTAAACGGTTCGTAATGCCATGTCCAAGAATAGATGACTTTTCTATTTTTCTTATACACTTTCGGGAGAATTATCATCATTATTTCCCTTCAGAATTGCTCTCTGCACTTCTCTCCGATTCTGAATCACCTTCTCTTTCTGAAATTCGCTCTTCTTCATTTGTAATGCTTTCATCTAAAATAATGTCCTCATCACTGTCACATAAAAGCATATTCTTATAATCTTAAGATCCTTTGGATCAGTCATGTCGGTATTTACTTTTATTCGCCATAACTGAAAGAAAAGAAAAAATATCATACATGGTCGCGCGTA